CAAAATCTAGTTGCAGCCTCTCTCTCTCCCTTCAAGTGTGTCCACCTCGCCCCACACCTTAGTGTCATCAGCAAATTTGGACAGCATGCTTTCTACCCCCTCGTCCAAGCCGCTGATGAAGATGTTAAACAGTGCGGGCCCAAGGACTGAGCCCTGGGGTACCCCACTGCTCACATCTCGCCAGTTTGAGTACAACCTGTCCACCACTACTCTCTGGGTGCGCCCCATCAGTCAATTTTTCACCCATCCAACTGTGCAGACATCAATGCCGCAGTCACTTAATTTATTGATGAGGATGGGGTGAGACAGTGTCAAAGGCCTTCTTAAAGTCTAGAAAGACTATGTTCACAGCAACACCATCATCCAAGGATTTAGTTACTTGGTCGTAAAAGGCAATCAGGTTGGTCAGGCAGGACCTGCCTTTGGTGAACCCATGCTGGTTGCCCCTGAGCATGATCTCCCCTGCTGGCCACCCACAGATGTGCTCCTTGATGATTCTCTCCAAGATCTTCCCGAGCACCAAGGTGAGGCTTACAGGCCTATAGTTATTTGGGTCCTCCTTCCTCCCTTTCTTGAAAATTGGGACCACATTAGCCAGTTTCCAATCCCCCGGCACCTGGCCAGGTGACCACGAATGCTCATACAGCCAGGCCAAGGGCTCCACAATGACTCCTGCCAGCTCCCTCAACACCCTTGTGTGGAGGGCATCTGGACCTGCAGATTTAAAAATGTCTAGCCCATCCAGAAGATCCCTAACTACATCTGCGCTGACTGAAGGCCTGACAGAGCTATCCCCAAGATTGTCCCTACCTCTGGTAGGTGGGGTGTCCCGGTCCCTGTTCAAGAAAACAGAGGCAAAGAAACTGTTAAAAATCTTCTGGGTCTTATCCCTAGTTCTGGGAGGAAGGAGGGAGCTGGGGGTGGGAACCTGCCATGGGAGGGTAAGTGAAGCCGGGGCCCTGAAGGCTGGGCACAGTACTGACCTGTGATGACATTGATGTCAGGGTAGAGCTGCTCGGAGAGTGTCACGGCAGCACTGTCCCTCTCAAAGGCGTCGCGAAGCTCCTTCTTCACAGCAGCTGAGCCGCACAGCCGGTACAGCCCCACGACCTGCCACGGGGCACCGTCATCGGGGGGCCCAGCCTGGCCCCGCCCAGACTGGCCCCTTGAAGGGCACAGGGGCATGCAAGGGGGTGATGAGGGAGCTGGAGAGGGGCTGGCGCATGCAGGGGGCAATGGCAGGGTGCTTGGGAGTACAAGAAGAAGGGGCATAACCCCTTGGACACAGGGCAGCACCAGGAGGGCCAGGCAGGGCAGGAAGCAGCAGGGAGATTGTACTCTACCTAATGGGGTGTGGCCCCTCTGCTCTCCCAGCCCCAGGGACCTGCTGGCTTGTGCCTGCTGCAACCCAAGTGCCCGATGCCCAGCACAGTGCCCCCAGGGGCTCTAGGCTCCTGTGCTCCACCCATCCCAGCAGAGGAGGGGGAAGGGATCCCCTCTCACCTTCAACCCACATCGCTCGATACGGGCCACACACTTCTGGATGAGCAAGGGTACTTTGAGGACAGCATTCTCCCTCTCCACCAGCTGGCGCAGCTCCACACCGAAGACCCGTGGCTCCCGGGCATTGGGCACATCCCACTGCTCCACCAGCGTGAGCTTGACATAGAGGATGCCGCGCGGCTCCAGCTGCAACGCCAGCTGCTGCACCCGTGACCCTGCCGGGGAGGGACCGGCTGGGCGGGGGTGGGGGTGGGCTGGGGCACCGCAGGCTGCCCTCTGTTATGCCCCATGCCAGGCCCATACCAAGATGCCCTGCACCTGCCCATCCCGCAGCCCAGCTGCAGCCCTGGGGGCCTCCCCTGTGCCCCAATCAGGAAATGCTGACACCACCCCTTCCTCAGCATTACCTCTGAATATGTGGGGCAGGATGATGGTGCCGTGGCAGCAGACACGGTTGCGGCCAGCAGCTGGGTCCCAGGAGAAGACGACAACCTTGAGCAGCTGGGCACCCTCCAGCTCCAGGTTGAAGGTGTGGTTGAGGCGCAGGAAGGCGGCATGGCCAGGCAGCAGTGCTGTGCGCGCCTTGTGGGCCGCATCCACCTGCAGCACGCAGAAGACCTCCCTGGCCTCAGCCCGCAGCGCCCGCAGGTCCTGCAGCCCATACAGGTGCACACTCACGAGGCCGGAGAGCTGCTGCACGCAGCGGGGCTGCTCCACAAAGCTGTAGGATTGAAAGGAGCTTACGTCCAGCCCAGGCCCAGTCCCTGGCTCTGGCTCTGGCTCAGCCCCAGTGTGCTTGTCCGACTTGGCCAGGAGCTCTGGGGAGTCGCCGTCGCTCAGGTAGCCACCCTTGCTGGCTGCCTTGCCACGGGGCAGCCCTGGCTGGGCCTCCACGCTGCTGTCCAGGTGGTAACGGCTGATGACATTGCCAGACTCCTTGCGGGCATCCCGGGGCGAGGTGCTCCCCATGGCACCACCCCCCTCAGCCTCAGGCCCCCGGGTCCGGGTGCTGCGCAGGCTCAGCTTCCTCCGCAGCTCGGGCAACTTCTTCATCTTCATGGAGAGGCGGCGCACAGTGCCCGGGGACTTGGCCCTGCCAAGGGCACGTCCCTTCTTTGCAGCACCAGGGCTAGGTGGAGGCGACGGGCCACCTGGCACTACTTCAGCACTCATGCATGGCATCGTCGGAGCCTTCCCTGCAGGAGAGGACATGTGAGTCAGGTCCCACAGACCTGCAAGATCAGGGCTGGACTTGTGGGGCTTGTAGAACGGCAGGGTTGGGCAGGCGGCACCCTGTGGCGCCGGGGTAGCAGGGATGATTGGAGAGGGGGATCCTGGCTGCAGTGAGGGGGGGCAGGCAAGGGAGCAGCATAGCAAGGAGTAGGGGCCCTTGGGACTTGGGAACGGGCTATCCCATTGCATTAGGGAGCTGGGGTGGGGGGAGGGTTGTGTGTCCCAGGGAGATGTAGGGCCTCGTGGCAGCAGCCCCATGCCTAGTCAACCCATCCTTCCCCCCACACAGGCATTGCCAGCTCCTCACCACAGCTCTGGGCCCTGCCGGCACCCTCGTCTTTGCCTTGACTGGCTGCATCTGGTCCCAGCCCTGTCCGTGCGCTGTGGCTCTCTGCACCCCCGGCCCTGCTCCGGGAGGGCGCCTCACTGCTGGGCTTGTGTGGTGGCTCCATCCGGGCCTGGTCGGGCTCCTGGGCACTGGCCACACTGCCCCATCTCCTCCAGGGCTCAGTGTTCTGCCTGGTGCCCACCACATCCTCATCCTCAGGAATGGGGTTGTACCAGATCTCGCCCTCGCTGCCCATGGCACCCAGCTCCTGCTCTGCCCTGGTGCTGGGAGCTGACTCATCTGGGCCCAGGGCCTTCCCTGAGGACAGCACCCAGTGCCGGCTGCTGCGCTCCAGACTCTGCAGGTAGGCACCGTGGCTGGCCCCCTTCATGGCACCGGCAGCAGCCCCCAACTCTGCATAGCTGCACAGTGACTCAGCCTCTTCGTCCCTGGGGCCGTCAGGCCACAAGGGACCTTCACCGGGTCCCCCGTCCTCCTCATCCATAGCCAGCTCCCCCACGTGGGATGAGGAGGGCAGCAACCGTGGCTGCCCAGGGCTCTGGGGGCTCTCATCAGGGCTGTGCCCACCACCTTCATCCTGGGGCTCTGGGGAGGCTTTTGAACTGACGGGGCCCTTCCTGCGACAGGAGACACGTGGCTCGTCCCGGACCCCACATGAGAACCGGGCCCAGTTCTGCTTCTTGGCAACAGTGATGGCTGCTCCCTTCCGGCAGCCCCCATCAGGGTCTGGCACTGCCACAACCTCTGAACTGGGGCCTGTCTCTGGCACCAGCTCCACAGGAGAGTCCGGTGATCTCAAGGGGCGCTCTGTGAGGGGACAGGAAAAGTAAACAGGGGGTTGGTAGTGATATACTCCCAGTGCATAAGCATCTGCACTAGCCCCCAGGCACACACACCCAGTGCACACAACCATCCACAGCACATGCACTGCGCCCAGCGCAGCCAGTGCCCTCTCCTCCATCCCAGGAGCCCAGGGTCCCTCCTGAGCTAATTTACTGCTGTGCTGGAGCCTGGGGAGCTCAGCAGGCCCTGGCTGGCATGTAGCACCTCTGCACAGCTGGTTCTGGTTTGAATCAGCCTAAGCCCTGGGGCTGAAAGCAGTGTCTGGCTTGGAGCCAAGTGGCTGCACCAAGCAGGTCAGCATGGGACACTAGGGAGACATGCGGCTGTGACTACCTTGCAGCCTGGGTGCCCCAGGCCGGTGCAGCAGGAACTGGGATGACACCGCCTTCCCAGGCTTGTCCCAGGTGGGAGGCAGCTCCATTGC